AAATATGTTCTGTCCCCTGCTTATGTCGTAGGCTCGGGTGTTGGGTGGATTTACTTTCTTTCTTTTTTAATATGTTTTTCAAAAGAATGTTTGAAGAGGTTCAAATTTAGATGGCCACCAGTATTCCATGGGAATTTCAAACTCACATGTTCTTAGGCTCTTGCTCCAGTTTAAGAAAAACAGCACTAGAAACTGTAGATGAAACATTATAAATATGGTTTATGAAATAAAGATGATAGGGAACTCCAACTAGTGGCTCTGCATTCAGAGACTGCCAAGTGAATACATACATACGTTAAAGCAAAATATTTAAGGAATGATGTGTTATTTTTTGATTCCCTACTTCACCTTTTTTGACAGAAGAGCTTCTACCCTATGTCCGTAGTATGTAGCGTTCTGCAGGTTGTTTCAGATAGTTTCGTAGTCAGGTGCTACATTCTAAAAAACTACATATCATGCTAGTCTCTTCTGTTTCCTTCCATAATGTCTGGTGTTTGCTGCTTGGATGGACATAGGGAGAGATGCTGCTGGGGGTGAGGAAGGAAAGGCATGATGGGCTAGCTCTGAAGACAGTTAATGAGAGATCATTGCCCATTTTTTGTTTCGTGCGGCCTCTGAGTCCTCTAGCTAAAGGTAGATACAGTGAGACATCTTTTCCTATTTTCTTTGAGATCAGGTTTTGATGCTTATAGTAGAATCCAAGAATGTGTTGTTAATCTATTCAGCATTGGCATTAGTGAGAATCCCCTTGGGACTTTGGCATCTGGTCTTCTCTTTAGTTTCCAACACTGTTGCCAATTTTCATCTCTTTGTAATTCTTTATGGGTTTTATAATGGAAATTAGAAGAAAGGCATATTAGGCCCTGCTGGTCCACCCAGATACTAACCCAGAAGTCCTAGCAGTTATTTTACAGTAATGAGTAGGAAAAGATCATATGAAGGGTATGATTCCATTATTTTTTATATTCCTTATTTCTTAAGTAGCCTAATTTAAAATTTTACTGATTCCTTAATAAAAATGTACATGAAAAATTATCTCCCCAGGTATAACTATATAAAATGAATTTAAGTTACATATTTCCTCATCAAATTTCATCAACATTTTGTCATTTCTATTCCTAAATTCCTTATTTGTGATAAATGTTTTCATGTTAAAATCATTTTTCAAGGGGCATGGGATTTATGCAAACCCCATATCACCCACACCCAAGTAAGAAAGAAAATAAGTACTCTAAGGGATTAATTTCACTAATATAACAGTTAAAAATGTGAACTCTGTGGTTAGATCTGGTTCAAATCCCGTCTCTTTCATTTATTATTTGTGTGATCTTGGGAAAGTTGCTTAACATCTCTAAGCATCAATTTCCTTGTATGTAAAAATGCACTATTAGTGGTACCTGCCTCATAGGCACTTATGTGAGGATTTAGTGAAAGAATATGTGTAAAACACTTAGCACAGTGTCCAGAACATAATAACAGCTCTGTAGCTTGAAGTGAAGATGAAAATGACGATGAAGATGCTTACAAAGAGTTAACAGGATGCATGTTACTCTGTGGGTATTTCTTGAATTTTTTAATTAGTGACTTTTTTGTTAAAATTTTATCTCAGAAAATATTACCATGACTATTTCTATTTCTAAAAATTTGATACTGCCTTCCAGGGTGTGTCTTATGACAGATGGTCAGCAGCTAGTGGTAAAAGAAGTATGGAATGTAATAGCATTTCATTTATTTATGGGAAATGTTTTACTGCCCCACCCTTCAACTAGTTGGAAAATTAAAGTCAAAAACTGGAAACTCTATTTATAAATGGACAGTGCTGTGATCTCAGTGTCTGAAACTGTAGACTTTTAGAAAATATTCATAGCATATTGGAAACTAGTCACTGATCAGTTTCTCTTTTCCCTATTTTTTTAAAAAAACTAATCCAGAAAATAGGAAATTTGAGGTAAATTAAAATTTAATACTTAAGTATCATCAGAGAAATTAACTGTGTACTATTTTATATCAGTCATTAAGAGGATGGAGAAAAATGATTAACTCTTATTAATAGAGGTATTTGAAGTCAATAGAGCTATTTGTTAGTGCCACGTTAAAAATAAGCTAAATGAGTGAAAATATAACACATTCAAGAAGACAGGCCATGTCTACATTTCACTAAGGAGACAGTTTAGCATAGTGGTTAGGAGTAGGCAATTTGGGAGTCATTCTGCCTGAGTTTCAAACTCAATTCTATCACCTGCTTAATCACTTGTAATCTTGTAACTTACTTAACTGCAGCATGCCAAAGTTGTGTCTATATCATAATGTCAAGAGTTAAATGAGATAATACACGTAAAACATTTAAAATGTGGCACATAATAAATGCTCTGTAAATGCTAGCCACTATTATTCTAACTAGCCTAGCCAAGCCCCCAAATATCTCCAGTTTGGTTGTCATAGACATGCATGAAACATGCCCATTTCACTGGTTTAGAAGTAGGTCTCTGTTAAGTGGTCATTGTTCACTTCTTTCTCTTTACTTAATTCTTTGTCTACTGACTACTCGTAGCCATTAATGTATGCTGGGGCAGGCGGTGAACACTGCAGTAAGGATCCTCTAACAGTCTCATATGTGCCTACCTTAAAGGAACTAATTAGAGAGCTTTACTTTGTTTCTATCAGCCTGCAGCCCAAACATTTGCCATAATAAAAACACTCCTTACCTTGATTCACCTTAAAACAAAGAACTCGTGTGATTATCATCAGTCGTTATTCAGAGATTTTCATTTCACAAACAGAATCAACAGTCTAGTGAAGATAGTGTTGCATGTACAGCTAAACAATGCCATCTGCCTAATCCAAAAAATAAGGAAAATTCCTACATAACAGATTGTAATGTACCGTTTTTATATGCAGCTCATAGTAGACTGTGTGACTTAGCTATATTTGACACTGATACTTTTCTAAAATGAGACTCTTACATGGGAGAAAGTATAATAATATGTTTTAGAAATTAAAGTTATAGCTATATCAGTGTATTTCGTAAGGGGAACTCTTGCCAGCAAGAAGAATGGATAGAATTATTAATGTTCCATTGTGTTTACATTATTATTCTTGTATCTGTGTCTTGGGTTTTAGTCTTGTATCTGTGGTTATATTTTTTCCATGTCTGCTGAGTCAGGATCCACATTTTGCAGTGGAAGTTGTTGTTTTTAAGAGACCAGCCATTCCGCATTTAACTTATCCTAGGCACTGTGTCAAGTGCTTTACGTATGTTGTCTCATTTAATTCTCATAACAACTCTGTAAGTGGGTACTTTAATCTATAATTCGCTAGTGAGAAAAATAAGTCTCAAGTTTATATGGCCAGTAATCTGTGCAGTTGAGATATAAACCCCAAAAGGCTATGCCCTTCAAGACGATGCTGTTCAGAACATGAGAGAGTGAGGCCTTTGGAACTGGTCAGAAGTAAGACCATAGACTATTGAAGCAATTGGCATTGTCCTCTTTTGTTGTACGGAAATGAAACTTAGGAACAGTATAATGTACAAAAGAATAAGGAAATACTGCAATATTTGTGTCATTATCTAAAATACATAGATATGAAATACAGACACTAATACATGTTGTAATATAGCAATAATCAATCACATAATCATTTTATGAGGTTGATAAGGTCAAAATTTATTCTACAAGTGATCACACCGTTGATATTGCTGAAAACTATTTTTTGAACATACAAAACACATTTTTTTTCTCCAACCCATGTAGATACACATACCTTTGAGGACGAAAATTGTATTATATGCTAACACTTTTGTTTTGCAAATGATGCTCTCAAGAAGGCATAAAGACAACCCACAGAATTGGAGAAAATATTAACAAATGCATGTGATAAGGGACTTGCATCCAGAATATATAAAATAATAGTAATGGTAGTTGGAGTTTTTTTTGTTTTGTTTTTAATTAATTTTATTTTAACATGTCTTTATTTGGCAAATACAATGTTGCTAGTCACGACCCAGATTTTTTGAAATTTTATGGTCCTTAAAATTCCAAACCTACTGCTGTAGAGTTTGTGGTGTGGGTATTTGGCCACCTGAAAACATGGCCTCTTGGTTATATCAGGGGCCTTAACTGGTTATTCAGATGTGTACAAATCTCAGGGTATTAGCAGTACTTGGCAACCTTCTCCTGGACTGTCAAGTTGGCCACAGTACTCTCCCAATGATTGAGATTGTATCTAAGATCTTCTATGAGGCTGAGTGTATACTAGCAAAATGAACTGGGTACTTCATGCATACCCCACGTACATCTGATGCTGTTTGTGCTCTCAATTTTTTAAGAACACTATTTTGAGAGTCACACAACCCATTATTTGGCCAATACCTTACTATGTTATCTGTAACATGAGGGGTTTGGACTAAGTGATCTCTAAGTATTTTTTCAGCACTAATGTAAGTTGTGATTGTATTTGCATGTACATTTTTTTTTTAATGCTGAAGAGATATAGCTAATTAACATGTCTTTGTATTAAATATAAGTTCCATGTTACAGATCTGGATATGGAAGACATTAATTTTTCTCATTCAGTCTAGTATTTAAAAGGCATGTTGCATCTGTAATATGGATGCTGCCATCTTGGCAGATGCTCTTCATTTCTCTGCGAGGATTCAGTATGCAGTTTACACAAGATGACTTGAGTTCTCATTTTACTGCTGTGAAGAGTGGTCATGTTTAAATATAGCCACATTGTTTATTACAAAAAGTCATAAGACTCATTTTTTTAAATTGTTATTTTCTTGACACTGAAGTTCTTATGTAAATGTTCAGTCATTGCTATAACGTAGACAGATGATGACTGCTTGAAGATATATGCGCCAACCAGATTCTGGAGACCTGAATTCGTGTTAACTAGCAGGTTTGTTATTGCCCACAAGTACAAGATAGGAAGTATTAAAATCATTCATACCCATTTGAGAGAGGAAATTAATGCTTCCTTGAAAAATTCTTTTCTAGTGAAGGAAGCCCATCCCCCAGAATGGAGCTGCTACACAACATTGACCCAAACTTTGTGGACGCTTCTCCATGTGAGTACCTTGTTCACTGCAGTTAAACTGGATCTGCTTGGCTCCCAAAGGTAGTTTTCTCACCTAATGTGTCTCTAGCCAAGCTTTCTCTTTTTTCACTTGACTTTGCTATAGAGGTAAACAGTTCTCCATGGCAACTGTGGTCCTAATCTCACTGTGGCTTTGGTGCCACAGAGGGTGAATTTTAGTCTTGGCTCTGCTGCTTACTAGCTGTGAGACCTTTAAGCCTTTTCACTCTCCATGCTTCAGCTTTCCCATCTTTAAAAGAAGAACCCGTGAGATCTCAGAAGCTCCTTCTCACTGTAAATGTCCTGTTGTTGTTCTGTTATTTGAGAGCTCCAGGCTTCTAGAAGACTCAAGGTTTTCTGGAATGAATAAGCTACATTATCTAATTGAGCTGCCAGGTGCTGCCGAGTACCTACTGTGTCTCACAAGTGGGACTTACCCAGACATCCTGGAAGTAATTTAGTTTGATTCTCTCTACTGCCTAAATCAACCCATCAGGAGCCCTATTAATTCCAGGGAAAGA